ACAGGTGATGTTAGGTTCTCCTGCCTTTGCTCTTGACTTCTGTGTAATATTTCAAATTAAAGCAATTCCACCTACCCCATTTTCATGACAGCTTTGTGACTAATATGTTGTTTTTTTTTTCCTTTAAAAAACCAAACCTGCATGGTAAGGTTCACTGACCTGCTGCTGGAGGCCTCCTCCCCACAGCTCTGCTGACAGACCAATTTGTGTATGCACTTCTTAATGAACTTCAGGCAGAAGTCTGCTGGCTCAGTTAATACCCTATGGAGATACAGGTTTTCTTCTCAGAACAGGCTACTCCCTTTGAGGAAGTCCCATGTAACTGAGATACTTTTTCCTATCATCCTCTGTGAGAAGCAACAGCTTGCTCAGCTGCAGCAAGTTGCACATTTCTGGTTCTACTTAGAAGCAACTCTGCACCAGTGTCTGTGAGCTTAAGGGATTGCTCCACAAACAGAGATGAAAGTAGAGACACACCAAGGGGGCCACCAGCCACCAGGGGGAGGGGGAACTGGAGGAAGCAAGACCTGGTGGGTTAGAGCTGACTCCAAAAGCTCTGCACCACCCTGCTTTGAGCCAGCCCAGCTGAATTGTGTATGACAGTAGCATAGCTGGAGTCAGAGGAGAAGATTTGTCTGCAGCCTACGAGACAGCAAGCTGGAGGGATAGATAATTCATATGATTTAGGAGGCACTGCAGGTTATTTTGTCAGGAGCATCAGTATCATTTTGTACAGCTTTTGCCAGTTCTGCTAGGCCAGATTTGCAGTTATGTGCAGGGAAGCATTGGCAGACCTTCACTTGAAATTCATGTATAATGTTGTCTGATAGCCTGCTACAAACAACGAAGCATGCTTCTCTGAAGCCTGTAATTTACAACCCTTGGATATGTACAGCCCATCAATAAAAATCAATAATCTTTTTACATATACATTTTATTTGTTGCCTTCTTATTCATAAGAATATCTAGATTTTGGTTTGAAATTCCATATCCCTAGTCTGATAAGAAAGATTATGATTTGGTACATTTCTCAACATTTTTTCCAGGCCTCAAATACGGCCTAGTAAGAAGATGAGTAATATTTTATCCAGCTTAAGAACCACAGCAGTCAGTAGGAAATGCAAAGGATTTTAGCAGGCATTCCTTGTCCTTGAGCAGATGTGAGTACTTGCATTCTCCAGAGCTGTTTTTTGTTTTGTTTGGGGGGTTTAGTGGAGTGTGTTGTTTTGTACTTTTTTTTTAAAGGTTGTTAGTTTATACAAAATTTTCTTACAAGTTTAGGACCTGAAAACCTACAGAACACAATGACTGCTCCTCACCTTCTCCTTATCAGCCATCCCATATGGCTCTTCCTCACATCCTCTTGTCAAAGCATCCACCTGGCAGCTGCAGACCTGCCAGGTTGTCACATGCAGGAACACTCACAAGCAGCCCTGATGCAGAGAGACACCCCTGGGACCAGCTTGGCTTCCCACCTGGCTGGCTTCAGCAGCAGGGCTTTGGAAAGGGGTGGGCACTCCCGCCTTCCCTCCCTCTGCAGTGCACTGCCCCACACAAAACACCAGCAAAACTACCCATGGCACCACACCATTGGATTGGTCTATATATTGGTGCAGGATTCTTCTGTTTTGTCCAAAAAGGTTACTTTTCTTAAACCTGAATCCACTCAGAACTGAGCTCATACTATGGTCCCACAAGATGTTGTTCCTCCACCCCCCACTTTGCTGAACCAGATACCCAGGGCAGAACAGTTCTCAGTTCTGCCAAAAGAGGAGCTCCCTCATTCCCAGGTCTCCTGGAGCAGGCACTGGAGGCAGGAACAGTGAGCTGGATCAGGACACCAATCCCAATAAAGGGAATAAGAGCGTGTGTTGTGGGGAGGCTTCTGGGGAAACTGGATCAGTGTTCCAATCTAGCTCACTGCACAGTTGCACGATCATGTTTGCTGAGACAAGGAAAGCTGCAGAGATCCCATGACAGAGCAGCTTTGTCCCTTCCCATCACCACTGGTCTTGAGCCAGGCTGAAGTGGCCATGGAATCAGAAGCTTGGTGATCCTGCTGAGCACTCTACAGCATGTAGAATCAAATATACACAACTGATGCTTCAGAGTCATGGAAGAAATAAAAAAACAAACCTATGAAAATGCAAACAACTTGCCAGTATCCAAATAGTTTATTTTATTTTCCCACAGGGAGACAGAAATCCATACCCATGATAGAGCAGTGATTTCAAATGCTGTTGTCTGAAACTTGAAATTTCTATTAAAACCCTCACTGAAACAGAAAGTGCCAGCCCACTACTAATTCAGAAACACCTTCTGTGAGGTGCCACACCTCCTAGTTCAGCAATAAAAAAAGCAGGAGAACATGTAGTGCTTTTTTAAAACAAATGAGAATAGTTTCCAAAGTGCCCCCAGTCAATTGTATCGTGATTGACTGAGTTGCTGGGACATGAACACAACGGCTTGCAGTAACTTCTGAAATCAAATTGTAGGGTTTAATGAGGGGAAAAAACCCCACACATCTAAATAAATGTCCCTTGTGAACACTAAACAGCTGCACATTTGTTCAGTTAGCCTGCCACGAGCATCACTCCTCTCCACCTATTTTTTTTCCATACTTGTGTACTTTCAGTCTATGTCAGAGATTAGAGATTAATCAGGTAACACTCAATAGTCTCCGAGGGGGGTGGGGGGAGCACGGGAAGAGGTGAAAAAAAAGTTATCATTCTTTTGATTTTCTTTTTTCCCATTAACACTGAATTTGATCGGAAATTGTATTTAGCTGATTGTGTCAGAGTCTTGTGCGGATTTAAATAATTCAGTCTGTAGTAAAACTTGCCTGAGTTATTTTCAGGTAAATATCTGATTAAATCTAAATTCCGTGTGGATTGGTGTAGCCCAGAGTTCCGTTTGTTTTAAAATAAATACATGTAAGAAAAAAATTTCTATGCTTCAACAGATTTTTCAGATAAGGACCGAAGCAAGTTCTTATAAATAGCAGAGTTCATAAATCGTGGGTAGGAGTCTCTGTGCATTAAAGTATAAATCTGAAGCTGTGCGTCATCAAAGGTGTGTTGTGAGGGTTCCAGCATATTTCGGTTAATAACTTCTCTTACTCTGGAGTCCAGACTGACCTGCATATTAAAACAAAATCACATAAATAATATTAGTGGTGAATAGGACATGTGGGTTATTAGGTTTGTTTTAGTGGTTGAACAAGCAGCCTCTTCTCACCATTTGAGCTACTGTCCTTCACGAGTATAAAAAGTCATAAGTAGGCAAAAAATTACTGTTGAAATTTAGAAGCGTGGACAGAATAATGTTCTCACTGAGGTGACCTTACTTTGAGCAAGGCTGCCTGCGCCACGAGCATCACTCCTCTCCACCTATTTTTTTTCCATACTTGTGTACTTTCAGTCTATGTCAGAGATTAGAGATTAATCAGGTAACACTCAATAGTCTCCGAGGGGGGTGGGGGAGCACGGGAAGAGGGAGAAACAACGGCAACATTGTTTTGGTGACTGACATTTCCCTTCATTATCCCGCATTTCCAAGGATCAAGCATTCCGTGCCGGCAGTTCCCGCTTTCTAGCCACAGTGTCTGCTTGCTTACATCAAATCAGAAAGCCTAGGTAATCTTGCAAATATAGAAATAATCACTAAAATTAAAGATAGGCATGCCAGTATTCTGCAAGGACTTCAAACATCTCTGGAATTCAAAGAGAACAAAAAGTCCAATTTGGATTCATTTCAGAATAGATTAAACCAAGCAGAAAAGCATATTAACGGCTTGAGCTCCTGAAGGAGCACAACAGCAGCAAAACCACCAGCAAATGCCTGTTTACTAAATTGCTCATCTAAAAAGTTGTAAAACGAGACAAATCATATTAATAAATCAGACTTAAGGCTCATAAGAAGCTGGAAAGGTTCAGAAGGAAAACATGCCATTTGATTTTCTGTCAGAAAAGGGCCTGGGGGTTCTAATTGGCAAGCAGCTGAACATGGGCCAGTGTGTGCCCAGGTGGCCAAGAAAGCCAGTGGCATCCTGGCCTGTACTAGAAATGGTGTGACCAGCGGAAGTAGAAAGGTGATTGTCCCCCTGTGCTCAGCACTGGGGAGGCCACACCTGGAGTGTTGTGTCCAGTTTTGGGCACCTCAGTTCAAGAGAGATCTCGAGGTGCTGGAGCAAGGACAGAGGAAAGCAACGAAGCTGGTGAAGGGCCTGGAGAATAAATCTGATGAAGAAGGCTTGAAGGAGCTGGGAATGTTCAATCTGAGGAAGAGGAGGCTGAGGGGAGACCTCATCAGTCTCTACAACTACCTGAAAGGTCATTTGGAAAGGTTGATGCTGGTCCCTTCTCACAGGTGATTAGTGACAGAACAAGAAGGAACGCCTTCAAGCTGCACCAGGGCAGGTTTAGACTGCACATTGGGAAAACTTTTTCACAGCAAGAGTAGTTAGACACTGGAACAGGCTGCCCAGGAAGGTGGTGGAGTCACCATCCCTGGATGTGTTTAAGGGTCATTTGCATGTGGTGTTGGTGGAGATGGTTTAGGGGAGAACTTTGTACAGTAGGGATGATGGTTGGACTCTGTGATCCCAAGGGGCTTTTCCAACCTGAATAGTTGTATCATTCTATAATTTTATAAGATGTTCCAATCTAATGGAATCAGTGCTTTCCAAATGACACTGAGAATGAAAAAGATCAGTTTACTTTCAAGTCACAACCTGAAGTAGGTGAACAATCAGAAACAGTACTTGTTTGTTGCTGATATACAAGTTTAAATATGTATTTGACAAGTTCTACTATCAGCTAATGGAACAAGAAATCAAAAGAATCACCACAGCATGCAGGACTTTGCCTTGGGAAGTCAGGATGGGGTGCCTTCCATAACCTGTTCTGTCCCTGCTGGGCTGAGTCCAGTGGCAAATGGGTGGGAACTGATGCTCTGATACGCAGCAGTCAAATCAGATAATGTATTGGCTGCTCTCAGTGCCAAGACAAATAAAATGGCTATGGCTGTATGACTAATACCAGATAGAATGAAATAGTTGTTCTTCACTGATAGTCACTCAATATACTTGCAAATCTGACAGAAACATCAACATATTATTTTTAATTATTTGCACATCTATTGTGCCAAAACAAACTGGCTCAAGATCATGTTCTCCTTCTCACCATTATTTCTTACCCTTTCCCACCCATACAGAGAGACCTTGCAACACATGGCTCTGCAGGGATACAGGGCACTTGGAACAGCCTGTTCTAGAATGGTGACACCATTGGGCACCCACCTGGAACCACCCAGAACCTGCAAGGCCTGGAGATGGCATTATGCCACCTTTCATGTCCTGCCAGGAGACTCTGCCTTCCACAGTCACAGTAACATTCAGAAATGGTTCCATTTACCAAAGCAGGCAAGTAAGCTGCTTAATTTTCTAAAAGCTATTACCTGTAGAAGCCAAGCCAATGTAACAATATCTAAATTACAGGTTAAAACCAGCTGAGACTGTTCAAGCTGATTCAATTAAACCAGTACACCTTTGGTAGAAACAACTTTGCAATTAATGGAAGTTATTGCTCTCAGGTGGTGAGCTTTCTCCTCCTTTTATTCTAGACCTACTTATTCTCACATCATATTTTATTTTTCTTCTTACTCTCCACTCCAATTTGACCCTTTTACTACTCATCTTATTTCAACCTTGTTACTCTTTGTTTTACTAAGTTTCTACTATTACTCCTCTGGAGTCCTGTTTCCTAGAAGGAGGCCACTCTTGTGGTCTGGTAACATTTTATATCCACTTAACATAGTATGAATCCTGAGACTTTTCAGGGCAACGAGGAATCAAGACCCCTGTTTACATCTGAAAAGTGTTTTCTATTTGGCATATCATCATACTGTAGGAGTTCCTACAACATTAATCCATACAAATGGCAACAAGTGTCAGAGACACTTAAAATTATACCAATAGCCTACATCATTTCCAGCACAGCAGATCACACTCCAAGAGGGAAATTAAGAAAAGGGAACTACATCAACTCTTGAATTTCCACATTCAGCTACACTCTACTACTTTTTAACCTGCAGCCACCTTCTGAACGGAGGGTAAGGACACAGTCCTACCTGTAACGTCAGCACTGATTAAACCACACCAGAGCTGCCACAAGTCCTTATGCCAAGATGAAAACACAGTGCATCCCATAGCACACCCAACCAGATAACTAATCCAGACTGGAAAAAAATAAATAATTAAAATCCACAGGTACCATTTTCACAGCTATTTATCACATTCCTGCACAGTCTGCCTCAATGCAACAGGGGGAGGGGTTGGGTAAGACAGCCTCTCCAGTCAGCAGGAGGTGTGCACTAAGTTAGTGCCAAATACAAGTTTGCCTACAGGAGCCTTCCCAGGGCACTAGTCAAGCATCAGGAAAAGATGAAATACAAAACCATAACCGAGCAAAACGAGGAGACATGCACTTCTGGGAAGACTCGAGCAGCAATTTAACCTTGGCTTCTTTTAGCCGCTTACAGCAGCAGCATCGTATCAGTCAGTGAAGCAAGAAGTGCCCAGTTGCTCCTGTAACAGCAGGGGACTGGGAGGGGAGGATAACGGGGTGGGTCAGAAAAACCTGGAAACAGGAAGGTTTGTGTTCGGGATGGCCATCTAATTCCAAAAGAAGACCAAGCATTTACCACGTGCACCCTCTAGCCCAAAACCTATTCCTAAAGCGTTTAGCAGAATTTTCAGCTATACTGGCTTTTCTTCTCTAATTCTCTGTGCCATAAACCGAGTTGGGCCAGCAATAGCAATTCCGAAACGCTGACACTTCACAACTCTACATTAAATCTTCTTCTCATACTCCTGGACTCCTGGGCCAGGGTCTATCCAGGCGGGAGGGCTGCAGGCCCCACGGGGACGCGCGCACGGCGGGTCCGGCTGCTCCCACACCGGCGGGGACCCCGCACAGCCCCGCACCGACCCCAGCGGGGGGA